TGGGATTTACGGTGAACCCGATCATGGGGTTTTCTTGGCAAGTTTTGTTTCTGCCGTCCTCTCAGGCTGAGAGAGTGTGACTTGCCCATGGTAGGGGAACCTTGCAGTGAACCCAAGGCTAACCTATCATGGGGTTTTCTTGGCATGTTTTGTTTTAGCTGTCCTCAGGCTGAGAGAGTGTGACTTGCCCATGATAAGGGAACCTTACAGTGAATCTAAAGGCTAATCTATCATGGAGTTTTCTTGGCAAGTTTTGTTTCAGGCTGAGAGAGTGTGACTTGCCCATGATAGGATAGCCTTGCTGTTGCTGTTGTGCACCTTCAAGTTCTTTCACACTTATGATGACCCTAAGGCTAACCTTGGCTGCATCTGCACTACAGGAATAACCCAGTTCGACACCACTTCAACCGCCACAGCTCAATGTTATGGAATTCTGGGAGTGGCAGCAAACCACAACTCCCAGAATTCCATAGCACTGAGCCGTGGCAGTTGAAGCGGTGTCAGACTGGATTATTTCTGGGTGCCGTAACAAACTACAAATCCCAGAATTTCATACTACTGAACCACGGTAGCCAAAGCGATGTCAAAACCGATTATTTCTGCGGTGTGGATGTAGCCCTATAAGGCTACCCTATCCTGGGGTTTGCTTGGCAAGTTTAGTTCAGAGGAGGTTTGCCATTGCCACCCTCTGAGGCTGAGAGAGTGTGACTTGCCCGGGGTCACCCAGTGGGATTCCATGCCCAAGCTGGGATTCGAACCCTGGGAATTGAGTGATGTTAGTCATAGATCTGCATTTTGTCAAGGGGTTGTTGGTGTGTTGTTCTGACACTATCTCAACCCAGAACAACACACCTATAACAACACCTGGATAAAATGCAGGCCTGCGACTAACATCATTTTTGTTTCCTCTGGTATGATTTTTAACACCTTTGCTTGATGGAGAAGCCAGTGGAGCTTCCAAAGCTTGCATCATGGATTTTGCGCGTCTTCACATTGATGATGGGGATGATATTATTATCATTATCATTATCATTATTATTATTATTATATTTACATCCTGCCCTTGTCCCAAAACTGGGACTCAGAGCTGCTTGCAATATTGGGAAAAACAACCAGTCCAATTAAAAACATACAAAAGTGATACATTAAAACAGAATTAAAAAACATTCATATACAAACAAAATTAGACAGGTGGGAGAAAAAGTTTTAAAATGATCGTCCTCATAGGTCTGCATTTTGTTCAAGGGGTTGCTGGTGTGTGTGTGTGTGTTGTTGTTACCCTATCCCAACAAGAACAACACACCCAGCAACACCAAGAACAAATGCAAGCCTGCGACTAACATCATCTGTTGGGGATGCTTTGATTGGGAGTTCCTGCATGGCAGGGGGGTTGGACTGGATGGTCTCTTCCAACTCTATGATTCTATGATTCTATGATTCATCATCCCTTATTATTTCCATGGATAATAATAAATGATGATCTGGGCAAGAGAGATCTTGTGGCACCTTTGCGACTCATTGAAAGAAAGAAGTTGGCAGCGTGAGCGTCCCTAGACGCCAGTCTACTTCCTCAGATGCATTTAGCGGAGTGGCAACCAGGGACAGACCTATCTATGCCACTGGTATGTGAGAATGTCAATTCAAATCCAAAATCCTTTGTGGATGGCAATGAAGTAGCAAATAAAGGATTGTACATAGTTTGTCACATTTCGAACAAATGATGATGATGTTCGTCGCAGGCCTGCATTTGCTCCAGGTGTTGCTGCTGTGTTGTTGTGTGATCATACATTTATGCTATTCATAAACAGATGATGATGATGATGATGATGATGATGATGGTTATGATGATGGCAAGCGTGTAGAGAGATGAAGAGGAGGCCCAGATTTCGGATACAGCCCTTCTCCTTTTTTCTAGCTTTAAAAATTCAGCAGCCACAAATTTGTATCACAGCAGCAGAGACATTTCCCAAGGTTTAAAATAATAATAATAATATTTTTTTTCCCAGTTTGGGGGGAGGGAATCTTAAGGACTTAGTGCCGCCTTGTTCCTCAATTTGCTACTCATATGACCTCCAGACTTTCTGGCGTCAGGAATTATCTTGTGACCAAGTTAGAAAGAAGGGGGGAAAAAATCTATAATTGCGGGAAAGCTGAGGTTATGATGGAGAAAACAGATTTGGGCCAACAAATAATGGCAGTGGAAGCATTCATTTGAACATGTGGCGGGTGGGCTGCAGCGGTTGGGAATTACATCTTTTATTTGATAGAAAAATGTGCGTACACACACACACACACACACACACACACACATATATATATATATATATATATATATATATATACACACACACACAGAGGCAACAGTGAAACTATTGGCTAAGAGCTGTGTGGAACTATTTGAATCTTTTATCCTGCAAAAGGTGGTAGTAAAAGAAAGGCAAAACTCTGAAATGATTTGGCGGAACCAAAAAAGTGAAGAAATCTGTGGCCCTCCAGATGTGGTTGGTCGACAACTCCCATCATCCTGGGAAACGTGTTGTTCTAGAGGAAGGTATAAAGAACAAAGGGTGAAAAAGGTGTTTTTTGGAGCAGGATTATGTCTACTTTATGTTTTGACTCCTCCAACCAGGCTACTTGGGAATTCAGGGGTTTTATAGTCCAAGAAAGAGTGTGGTGTAGTGGTTTGATCATAGGACTAGGAC